CGCACGCATGCCAGGCGAGCGCACTACCACTTGAGCCACATCCCCAGCCCTTATTTATATTTCTTGATAATTTCTGGAGGTTATGTATCTATTCTATATTTATTTTCTTGACAAATATTTTGGTATTTTGCCTGTAGCTCATGGTTGACAGTGCAGAGAGAGAAAACTTTGAGGGACAATGGATGCAAAAGCTCGAAATTGTCTACTTCAACATAGAGAAGCTCTGGAAAAGGACATTAAAACATCCTACATCATGGATCACATGATTAGTGATGGAGTTTTAACAGTGTCAGAAGAGGAAAAAGTAAAAAATCAGGTAAAGCCCTTTGAAGCAATCTGTGCTTTCTTAAAAATTTTTAGAATTTAAGAAATTTTGGAACTTTTCATGGGTCTTTCCACTCATTTATGTTGCAGACATATTCATTGCTATATACTAAACTACTTATTTTTTTTTAAGCCCACGCAACATCAACGAGCAGCTATGCTAATTAAATTGATACTTAAAAAAGACAATTATTCCTATATATCATTCTACAATGCTCTACTACATGAAGGATATAAAGATCTTGCTGCCCTTCTTCATAGTGGCATTCCCGTGCTTTCATCTTCCAGTGGCAAAGATTCAAATGGTGGAATAACTTCATATGGTTTGTACCTTTGATACCTTCTGTCATATTTCTATGGTGATGGCTACTACATTTCTTCAGGTTTATCTGTAATCTGAAAAATATGATCAGTTCACTGAAAAATGCATATGAAAAAATTGTAGTGATATTTTCAATTTAGATATTTCGATGTTAACACGTTTTCTTCTCAGGGAGCTATTTGTTGCTGAGATCATATGCAGGCCCTAATTTTTAGAGTTAACCAGACTTTCTAGAGGCCCTTATTTAAGTTCTTTTCTACGTCTCTGTGTTTGTAGAGTTTACAGGAAAGAATAAAAAGATCTATATTCTTGAAAGGAGTTTCATAAATGTTTTCTCCTTACACTTTTTTTTTTTTTTTTTTGCAATGCTGAAGATCAAGCCTAGGACCTTGCACATGCTAGGCAAGCATTCCACCTTTCCCAGTCTCTAGTATGAGACACAGACTGGAGAGTCAGAGAGTCATAGGGTGTGTTAGGCAGGTATTGATAGACAATTCCATTGTTTGCACTCATCTTGAAGGATACATGTTTGCTTTTTTTCTCCATGTTCTGAGAAATCAGAAAGTTGAAGTTAATATGCTAGTCATTTTCTTTTGAAAATTCTGAGGCTAAGACCTTGGTTTGCCCTTTTAAATTTTTGTGGTATTATGTAAGTAGCCACTTCAAAGTTATATTCATGCATACTTGTTTTGGATTTCAGTAAGGACAGTGCTGTGTGAAGGTGGAGTACCACAAAGGCCAGTTGTTTTTGTTACTAGAAAGAAGCTGGTGAATGCAATTCAACAGAAACTCTTCAAATTGAATGGCGACCCAGGATGGGTCACCATTTATGGAATGGCAGGCTGTGGGAAGTCTGTATTAGCTGCAGAAGCTGTTCGAGATCATTCACTCTTAGAAGGTAAGTTTTGACCTCTGTGTTGGTGGCTAAGAAGATAATTCTTTAGGCATTCTATTAGTTTTCTGTTGCTGCTGGTAATAAATTACCATAAATTTAGTGGCTTAAAACAAAATTTATTATCTTATAGTTCTGGAGTTTTTTTTTTTTGTTTTTTTTACTAGGCTAACAACAGGGCGGTCTTCCTTCTTTCATTTGAAGGCTCTTGGAGATAATTTTTTCCCTTGTAATTTTCCCCTTGTGGAGGAGTCTTGCATTCTTTGACTCACGATCTTTTCCTTAAGACCAGCAGTGCATACATAGTATCTTCATACTCCTCCCCATCTTTGTTTCTGTCACACACTTTCTTTTCTGATGTGGCACCACATAAAAAATATTAAAAATATTAAAAATAAATAAATAAATAAAAATTCTTAGTATCTTTTCTGTCTGTGTGTAAGCCCCAAGAAGAAAACCTGGGACTTGACTGTAGCAGTCAATGGGTGTTCGAAGGTGGGCTGAGACTGGCAGTTTTAGGCACAGGTCATCCAAAAAGAAGGTATAGTCTGCATAACTGAGGAATTCACTCATAATCTAGTAGGATAACCAGACATACAATCAATTATGATTATGTGATAAATTAGAAGAAAATATAAGGCTTAAAGTTAGAACAAAGGAAGGGAACATTAACTCTCTGGGGGAAATAGGTAGATAGCACAGGTTTTCCTCAACAAGGTGATATTTTAGCTGGAGTTTGGAGAAAAAAATAGAAGTTTACCAGGTAGATGAGCTAGGGATGGGAGGGAAAGGAGGAACGGTAGTTGGTGGTTACTGGATGGGGAGGGCATCCTGGGCAGAGGAGGGTTTCAGGCATGCTTGTAGATGTGAGTCTGGTAAGTTCTGAGGATATTCATCAGGAATAGTCCTAGAGCTTCCTCAGTGTTCGGTTGTGAACTCTTCTAGGGAAATTCAAAGATAGTTCCTGATTTCTTATAGTTAAACTTTTTCTTTCTTTTGCATATGATACATAATTAGCAGTTAAGGCGGATAAATTGAATGGAATAAGAAGTATTTAAAAATCTGAATCTAAGAGATTTGGAAAGATGGATGTTAGGGCATATCTGTTGTACACATAAGACTTATATAACTTCATAGGCTGCTTTGTTAGTAGCATTTATTATACTCTTGTCAGAAGAATGCCCAATTCCCAATCCTTGATTTTTTTCCTTCTGTCATTATAGAAAAATTTTCTGGGATTTAGCCCCTTGCAAGTCTCAGATTCAGTGTCTGTCTGCCTATGTATCTATCTATCTATCTATCTATCTATCTATCTATCTATCTATCTATCTGTTTTTGGTACTGGGGATTGAATCCAGGGCATTTAACCACTGAACCACATTTTTGATCCTGATTTTTTTTTTTTTTTGTACTAGGGATTGAATCCGGGGGCATTTAACCACTGAGCCATTTTCTCAGCCTCCCATGTCTTTTTCTTTGTATTTTATTTAGAGACAGGGTCTCACTGAGTTGCTGAGGCTGCCTTTGAACTCACAATTCTCCTGTTTCAGCTTCCCGAGCCACTAGGATTACCGGCATGCACCACTGCTCCCTGCCCCATTTTATCTTTTATTTTGAGACAGAGTCTCACTAAGTTGCTTAGGGCCTCATTAAGTTGCTGAGGCTGGCCTTGAACTTGCAATCCTCTAGTTTCAGCTTCCTGAAGTGCTGGGATTTATAGATGTGTGCCACCATGCCTAGCTAGGAAATATTTTTTAACCTCTACTGCAAAGTTGATGACTGAGGATATTTCAGCATAAAATTGGCTTAAGTTCCTTTAGTGTGAAGAAATAAGTTTTTATTTCAATATTATGAACTTTTTAAAAAATGTGTATTTATAATATACTAATTTATAGGATTAAAAGAATACCCCCATTTAAATTATATTGTGATGAATTTTCAATTTTAAGGATTAAAGTTGAACATAAGTTTATGGAATTAGATGACTCAGGAATCATATTGTATAAATTATTATCTTAGAATAGAGATTAACCATTTTGTTGAGAAAATCCCAGATATATTAATAGCTGTCTAGTACATGTAAATTTAATTCATTTCCCTCATATATTTTTGTGAGATCTCAAGTTCAATTTGTGTTTCCACCCCAGGGTATGGGGGCTCCTTTAGTTCATGGTTCATTTTTTTTTTTTTTTAATGTCTTTGCGACCTTAGCCTCTTACTGTATTTATTTGTTTATTTCCTTTTCAAAATTCCCATTTTCATTTTTTCCCTGTCCCTTTTTGTATTAGAAATAATAGAATCCCAGTATATTTAATATATGTTTTTAATAAATACCTGTGTATTGTACATGCTTTTATAAAATGTCTATGTTGTTTGTATGTGGATATTTTAAATTTGCATAAATGTTATGGTGTTATTTTATTGTGTTTCTTATCTCCCACAACATTGTTGAGATTTATTCTTGTTGCTGAATATACAAGTTATTTGTTACACCCGATTGCTATGAACATATTTTACTATCCATTCCCCTAATATGGTAATTTAATATGTACATTGTCTCCAACTCTCCGTTGCTCCAGCAAAGCTGGGTTGAATCTTTAAAAGAGTGTTTTTTTTAGTGTATATTTCTAGAAGAGTTGCTAAATTAAATGATGGGATATACCAACATCAAATTTAGTTGTTCTACAGTTTGTGTTTCTACCAGCAGGGTATGGGGGCTCCAAGAGCCTTACTTTCCCAGTGACAGTGTAGTCCAACTTTATAATTTTTAAAAGGCTGGCTGATGTAAAATTTTATCTTTCAATTTGCATTTCTCTTATAACTCAAGTTTGAATATTTTTTTATAAGCTTGTTAGTGTTTTAGGTTTTCTTTTATAGATTTTGTTTATATCAGTTGTGTACTTTTTTACTGGGATTTCCATCTGTTGCTTTTCAGGAGTTTCTTGTGTGTTCTCAATGTTAGACTTCCTGGTTTTTGACTTTGTAAATACCTTATTCTAACTTATTCTTTGTATTCACTTTATCCTGGATGCTCTTAAAGAAGAGAAGTTTTTAATTCCCAAATAGTCAAAATTAATAATTTTTTTTGCATTCTAATTTGTACTTCCCAAGTTTTGCTTATATCATCCTGTATCAGCCTCATATATCAGCCTCACCATTTATATTGAACTCTTCAATCTCTTGAGTTTGCTTTTGTATGTTTGCTAGTTCAAGAGTAGATGCTTTCTGGAGCTGTGTAGGTAGCTGAGTGCTTGTCTAGCCCATGCAAGGACCTGGATTCAATCCCCAGCACCACAAATGAACAAAAAGAGATGCTTTCTCAAAGATAGATTTTACTCTCTTGAGATTACTTCCATTCTAAACTATAGGAATTTGGCTTTTTTCCATTAATTATAATGTAAAACCTTTAATTTAAAAAAGTATAGACAATGGGAAAGGTTACATACTTGTTAAAACTGGTTTCTATGGAAATTTTGTTATCTTAGGGTGGTGATTGATATAAAAAATATTAAGTTCTTAGCTATTTATGCCTAGATATTTTTAAGTAACCCAATTTTTTTTCACAGTTCAACCCTGTATTTTTTTTATTTGTAGAGAAATTGTTGACATATTTTTAGACCATTTACTCTAAGCTTTTCTTTTCTTTTTTTTAAAAAATTATTTGTTTTAATTAGTTATACATGACACTACAATGATCTTGAGATATCATACATTTGTACTCTAAGCTTTTTATATAGGCTGCCTACTTATTTGTTTCTGTCCTTCCCAGGATTTCCTTGATGCTATTAAATTGCTAACAGGAAAAACCTCATGTGAAAGTAGGATAGGATTTGTTTTCTTAGATTAAAGGCAGTTTTTCTCAGAATAAATTTCTCTGAGTGAATTATAAGTAAACCCTCATTCAAGGCTAAATTGCTCCCTCTTGTGCCCATAGTTAAGATGGGTTCTTTCTGAAATGTGGAAATAATATCTCAACTCAGTATTTATTTATTTTTAATTATTTTTAAAAATTTATATATGTCAGCAGAATGCATTACAATTCTTATTACACATATAGAGCACAATTTTTCATGTTTCTGGTTGTATACAAAATATATTCACACCAGTTTGTGTCTTTATACATGTACTTTGGATAATAATGACTATCACATTCCATCCTCATTTCTAACCCCATGCCTCTTCCCTTCCCCTCTAACCTCTTTGTCCTATCTAGAGTTTGTCTATTCCTCCCATGCTCCCTCTCCGTACCTCACTATGAATCAGCCTCTTTATATCAGAGAAAACATTTGACATTTGTTTTTTGGGGATTGGCTAACTTCATTTAGCATTATCTTCTCTAACTTCATCCATTTACGTGCAAATGCCATGATTTTATTCTCTTTTATTGCTGAGTAATATTCCATTGTGTATACATGCTGCATTTTTTTTTATCCATTCATCTATTGAAGGGCATCTAGGTTAGTTCCACAGTTTAGCTATTGTGAATTATGCTGCTATAAACATTGATGTAGCTGTATCCCTGTAATATGCTGATTTTACCAAGGAGAGGGATAGCTAGATCAAATGGTGGTTCTATTCCCAATTTTGCAAGAAATCTCTATACTACTTTCCATATTGGCTGCACCAATTTGCAGTCCCACCAGCAGTGTATGAGTGTATCTTTTCCTCCACATCCTTGCCAACACTTATTGTTTTTTATCTTCATAATGGCTGCCATTCTGACTGGAGTGAGATAAAATCTTAGAGTGGTTTTGATTTGCATTTCTTTGGAAATGTTGGTCACTTGATCTGTTTTTCTTTTTCATATAAGAAGTTTGAATTTTATTTTTAGTTCAATAGCAAACAATTGAAAGGTTTTGAGCAGAGTATTTTTTAAAAGATCTTTCTGGTTTCTGTGAGGAAAGGGGAGAATTTAGGAAATAAGAGCAGAGGCAGAAGAACCAGTTTGTTCAACTGAGAGAAGAAAGGGACTTGGACTCAGGTGTATGCAGTTGACTTGGAGCACAGTGATTGGATTGGGGATGCCTTAGATCCAGAAATGTTATGGGTGATGATGGGGTGCTGAAGGAAGGCTGACAGGAAGTCCACGGCTGCAGGGAACGCAAGATGGCAGCAGGAGAGTGAGATTCTGTCTACCTTTCTTTGTAAAGCTTATAGTGTTTTTTTGTTTTTGTTTCTATTTTTATTTGTGTATGTATTGATAATGCCCTGTTTAGTTTTAAATTTAGGAGAGAAAGGCTTTTAACCTAAGCATTATTAAGTCCTTAAATTAAAATGTGAGTTTACTGGGCTGGGGATGTGGCTCAAGTGGCAGCGCGCTCGCCTGGCATGCGTGCGGCCCGGGTTCGATCCTCAGCACCACATACAAACAAAGATGTTGTGTTTGCCGAAAAACTAAAAAATATTTATTAAAAAAATTCTCTCTCTCTCTCTTTAAAAAAAAAAAAGTGAGTTTACTAGGTAGCTGCATCAACACGCTGAGATTTTAAAGCACAGAAGCTTTCTCCAAAGGTTTTTATATGATTACATTTTTAGAATAGTGATTTATTTTTATACCTAATTATTTGTGAATACCAATAAATAAATTGCCCTTGGATGTAATTTATGTTTTTGTTTTTTTCTTTTTATTATATTTTTATGATCATGTAATAGAAATCTTTATGGTTAATGTCACTTATCAGTGATCTAATGCTACTGTTCACCATATTTTGGACATAGAGATTCCTCATATATACATATAATATATTTGTGAATTTTTATTTATTTATTTTTAAATTTTAATATTTATTTTTTAGTTTTCAGCAGACACAATATCTTTGTTTGTATGTGGTGCTGAGGATCGAACCCCGGCTATGCGCATGCCAGGAGAGTGTGCTACCGCCTGAGCCACATCCCAGCCATATTTTGTGTATTTTTAAAAAACATTTATTTTTTAGTTGTAGGTGAATACAATACCTTTATCTTATTTTTATGTGGTACTAAGGGTCGAACCCGGTGCCTCACATGCTAGATGAGCGCACTACCTCTGAGCCACAACCCCAGCCTTTATTTGTGTTTTTTTTTAACCTGTGAGAAGCCAATTAAGTCTGAAGGCTACACTTTAGAGTCTTCATATATATATATATGAAAATACATATGTAAAGATACATATGTAAATAAATATGTAGTTTAATTAACAATACTGATGGTAACAGTAATAATAATAATGACTATTCTTGTAAGTGCTTACTAGTTCAGAGCTTAATATTTATAAGGTACTCTCAGATTTATAACACCAGCAATCCTGTTTGTTATAATCCTTTACAATTAACAGCAGTTTCAATGCTTTATGTTGTTAATTTCTCACAGCAACTCTGAAATAGCTGGACTAGAGTATAAGAAATGAGACTGAGTTAAGTGACTGTGGTTACTAACGATTGCATAGCTAGTAAGCAGTAGAGCCATACTTGAACTTAACTTACTTTAAAAGTTTGTATAAGAGAACCATAATGAATAACTTATGTGTTCCTGGACATCAGTGTTGTTGTTTTTTTTTAATATTTATTTTTTTAGTTATAGGTGGATGTAATATCTTTATTTTTAAGTGGTGCTGAGGATCGAACCCAGTGCCTCATGCATTTGTAGGCAAGAGCTCTCTCTACCTTTGAGCCACAACCCTAGCCCATATTAGTGGTTCTTAATCTGAGTGATTTTGTTGTCCAGGGAACATTTGACAGTGTTTGGAGGCAGTTTTGGCTCTTAGTACTTCTAAGGGGGAATTCTACTGGCACCCAAAGGGATAGAAACCAGGATGGCTGTTGATCTTCCTGTAATGCACATGAATGTCCCTTACAACAAAGAATTATTCAGCCCCAAACATCAAGAGTGTTGAGGCTGAAAAATGGTGTTATACCATGATTACTGATGATATAGACTAAAGATAGCAAAATTTTGCTTGGTGAGATTTCCTGATAATCAGTAAAAGATTTCCTCCAAGCCTCAGTTCATTTAGATCTTAAATTTCTTATTAGATTCAAACTTTAAAACTCAATAATAGCCTATCAAAATTTATAGCCTGTAGCCAGCTATTCTGGAGGCTGAGGCAGGAGGGTCACAAGTTCAAGGCCACCTTGGGCAATTTAATGAGACCCTGTCTCAAAATAAAAAAATTAAAATTAAAAAAAGGCTGGGGATGTAGCTTACTAGTAGACACTTGCTTATCATGCACAAGTCCCTGGGTTCAGTCCCCAGTACTGCAAAGAAAAAATAAAAAAAAACCTGAATTAAAGAAGGTAAAGATTCAAGACTGGAGAATGGAGTAAATCTGTTGCTTAATAGTAAAGCTATCAAAGGGGGATTGCTGTTCAAAGGCTTTCAGTTTATTATTCTTTTCCTCATTAGGTTGTTTCCCAGGGGGTGTTCATTGGGTTTCAGTTGGAAAACAAGACAAATCTGGGCTTCTGATAAAACTACAGAATCTTTGCACACGGTTGGATCAGGATGAGAGTTTCCCCCAGAGGCTTCCACTTAACATTGAAGAGGCAAAAGACCGTCTCCGCATTCTAATGCTGCGCAAACACCCAAGGTACAGGTGGTCAAATGTAGTAGGTGTTTTAGACTTGCCTGCTCACATCTTGAAGACATCATGCCTTTTTTTCTGTTGAGGGACTAAGAAAGAGCCATTACTTTCTTGCTGTTCTCTTTCTTATTTTATTTTTGGTACCGGGGATTGAAACTGGGGTCGTTAGCCATTGAGACATATCCCAGCCTGTTTTATATTTTATTTAGAGACAGAATCTTGCTAAATTGCTTAAGACATCACTAAATTGATGAAGCTGGCTTTGAATTTGCGATCCTCCTGTCTCAGCCTCCCGAGCTGTTGGGATTACAGGCATGCTACACTGTGCTCAATTTTTTCTTATTATTAAAAAAAAAAGTAGCTGTTACTTGGCTTAAAATTGCCACTTTCCTCTTTTGCATCCTATTTAATCACATTATCTCATGTGTCCATTGTAGGTTCTTGAGAAATTTTATAAAGGTGAGTTAGCGAATGGTCTTTGCTAGAAAGTCCTAGAAAGTACTTTGCTAAAAAGTACTTTAAATCAATTGTTTCTAGTGGATTGACAGAACAGGGTGTGGACCTTGCTTTATTTAAAAAAAAAAAATACAAGGGAGGGACAGTTTTTAATGGGTTATTATATTGGGTTGTCTTAGTTTTTGGAGGTGTTTGTTATTTCAATAATGAATTTATTCAATAACTGTCATTATAGTTATAGAACGCAAGGCTCAGAATGAATAGTAGTAGCAGGGGCAGAATGCCTATAGTGTTCTCTTGGCTTCATGGGAGCCAAGCCACACTAGTGGGCCCAGATGAGGTACTCATCAGTGTCTGAGGGATACAGGGTACCTTCTTGTGATCTTGAGGGCTTGACTTGCCCAAAGGCTGCCCAGCTGCTTCTTAGGGCCATAGCAGGCTTAGCTGCTCAGGGAAATCTGTTTGGTTGCTTCTTACGTTAAGTTTTGGGTAAGATAGTCTTAATGTAGGCAGCAACAGAGCTGCTGTCTCCCTTTTGGCTAATGAAAACTGTGAATAGTTCATGGCAGTGCCTAGCACACCTGGATCTACTGGAGGAGTTCCTGTGTTGCCCTTGGAAAAAACTGACAGGTACCCAGCCTCTGCTGCAGTGCCAACTGTACCTCACCTGTATGAGCCTATCAGAGTGGCCTAGGTAATGCATGGAAACTGATGAGCACCCCCCACACCCATACCTGGGCGCTCCATGCCATCGCTGCTGGTGAATCTACCCCACCTAATAGAGCTGTATGCCAGCTGGTGGAGTAATCCCATAAATTCCTGCAGCCTAGGATCACTAAGATACCCTCAAGCATCAACTACATTGAGTAAAGCTGAAGCCACATAGACACTGTACTCTGTGTCCACATGGAACCAAATACAACATAGCCTACGCAATTGACACTGTAGGACACACTTTTAGGAGAGAATTTTACTATGAAAACCATTACAAGCAATTGATCCACCAGCTGTATAAATATCAATGTAGACATAAGCATGAAAAAGCAAGGTAACATGCTGCCTCCAAAGGAACGCCATGACTCTTTAGTAACAGATCCCAAAGAAAAGGAAATCAACCAATCAGTGAAAATGAATTCAGGATGGTTTTAAGAAAACTTATTGAGATATGAGAATACAAACAGAAAGTTCAGGGAAATTAAGAAGATAGTTCATGATCTAAGTGAGAAATGTAGCAAAGAGCTAGAAAACTTCAAGAACCAAACAAAAGAAATCAAAGAGCTAAAGAACTTAATAAATTTTAAATTCTTAAAATAAAAAAATACAGGTAAAACCTTCAGAAGCAAACTATGTCAAGTAGAAGGAAAAATTTCTGACTTTGAAGGATTTTTTTTTTTTAGATGTTGTCTCACTAGTGCCTAGGCTGGTCTTGAATTCATGGGCACAAGTGATTCTTCCATCTCAGCATCCTGGGTAGCTAGGACTACAAGCATGTATCCACCATACCTGGATAAAGCAGGTCTTTTGAACTAAATCAAAGAAAAAAAAATCCCCATAAGACTTATGGGACACCATTAAGTGACATTAAATGAGCAAATATTAAAAAATTTTTAGTATGGAAGAAGAATAAAGGGGAAATAGAAGACCCATTTAATGAAATAATTGCTGAAAACTTGTTAAAACCTGGGAAAGATATAAACATTCAAGTCCAGAAAGCTCAAAAGACCCCTAAATACTTCTTTGACCAAAAATGATTTGATCAAAAATGATCCTCTCTCTGAGGCATATTATAGTTAGACTATCAAAAACAGGGATTTTTTTCCTCCACTGGTACTGAGAATTTGACTCAGGGTCTTGGGCATGCCAGGCAAGTACTCTACCATAGAACTATACCATGAGACCCAGAAAGAATTCTTAAAGAAGCAAGAGAAAAGTGTGAATTCACATAGAAGGGAATCCTCATTAGACTAACAGCAAATTTTGAGCTGAAACCTTACAGACCAGGTCCTGGAGAAAAGAAAAATCCTGTCAATCAAGAGTACTTTGCCCAGGAAACTTATCCTTCAGAAATTAAGAACAAATAGGGCTGGGGATGTGGCTCAAGCGATAGTGCGCTCACCTGGCATGTGTGCGGCCTGGGTTCGATCCTCAGCACCACATACAAACAAAGATGTTGTGTCCGCCGAAAACTAAAAAATAATAAATATTTTAAAAAAAGAACAAATAAAGTTTTAAGGTAAGCTGAGAAATTCATCAGCATTAGACTGGGTCTACAAGAATTGCTTAAGTGAGTCCTCCACTGTAGTAAAAAGTCTTCCAACAAAAAAAAGCTCAGGACTGGATGGGTTCACTGCTCAATATTAGCACATCTTTAAAGAAATGAGACCAATTATATTCTCAAACTATTTTAAAGAATTCAAAGGGAGGGAACCCTTCCAAATTCCTTCTGAGACTAGAATTACCTGGATACCAAAACTAGACAAGAACATATCCTTAAAGAAAACTACAGACCAGTATCCCTGATGAACATAGATGCAGAATTTCTCAACAAAATCCTAGCAAACAGAATCCCCCAACACATTAAAAAGATTATACACCATAATCAAATGGGATTCATCCTAGGAATACAAGGATAATTCATATACAAATCAATAAATATAACATATTACATTAACAGAATGAAGGACAAAAACTATATGATCGTCTCAATAGATACTTAAAGCATTAAATAAAACAGTATTACCTTCACTATCAAAATCCTCACCAAGGTAAGCATAGAAGGAACCTACATCAACACAATACAGCTTATATGAGACAAGTCCACAGTCAATATACTGAATGGGAAAATCTGAAATTTTTTCCATTAAGAATAGGAACGTGACTAGGATGTCTATTTTCACTGCTTTTATTCAACATAGAGTTGGAAATATTAGCCAGAGCAATAAGGTAAGAGAAAGAAAACAAGGGTATTCAAATAGGAAAGATAACATTGTAGAAATCATTTACTTCCTTGGTTCAATTTATTCTAGACTTATTTTTTATTTTCATTTAATGTGTATTTTTTTAGTTGTAGGTGGACACAATCCCTTTGTTTTATTTATTTATACTAAGGATTGAACCCCAGTGCCTTGCATGCTCTAGTTGAGTGCTCTACCACTGAGCCACAACCCCAGCCCTCCTTTATTTTTATGTGATGCTGAGGATCAAACCCAGTGCCTCACACATGTCAGGCAAGTGCTCTACCACTGAGCCAGCCACAGCCTCAGTCTCCTAGGGTTTTTTTTTTTTTTTATAGCTATTGTGAATGGAAATTCTATCTTGATTTCTCTCAGAAATTTTGTATATATTTGGTATGTAAAGTTGCTACTGATGAGCCAATTGTGTCTAATAAAGAAAATCCTAAGGATTCTACCCAAATACTATTAGAATTGATATATGAATTCAATAAGGCTTCAGGATACAGAATCAACATACAAAAATCAACTTTTTATTTTATTATTTTTTTCTTTTCTTCAATACTAAGGATTGAACTTATTGGCATCTATCATGGAGCTACATCCCCCGCCCTTTTTGATTTATTTTTTGTTTTGAGATAGGGTCTCACTCCATTGCTCAGGCTGGCCTCAAACTTGTGATTTTCCTGCTTTAGTTTCCTGAGTAGTTGAGATTATAGGTGTGTACCACCACACCTGGCTAATCATTTATATGTAGATTAAAAAGTTAATATTAAAGTATATTAAGGAATAGTGGTTACCAGAACCTGGGAAGGGTGTATATGTGTGTGTGTGTGTGTGTGTGTGTGTGTGTATCAATCAGTCTGGAGGAAGAGGATGGAGAGAGGATGTTTAAGGAGTACAGAAATACAATTGGATAGGACAATTAACTTCTAATACTCTATAGCATAGTAGAATAAGTATGGTTGATGACAATTCATTTTATCTTTCCAAATACCTAGTAGAGAAGATTTTGAATGTTCCCGACACAAAGAAATGATAAATGAGCTGATGGATATGCTAATTACTCTGATCTGATCATTACACATTATATATACATATTGAATTGTCACACCATACTCTATAATTGTGTACAATTATTTTATATCAGTTAAAATAAAAAAATAAACATAACCTGAGATTCAGTAAACAATTTGCTTTCTGTGACCTAGCAGCCAGTTTTGAACAAGTTCACTTAACAAGCATTGAGTGTTGTGCCAGGTTCAGGGTCAAATGCTTCAAGTGCAATGCTGAGCAAAACATGCCTTGGGAGTGGGATAGTATACTAGATGAGAATTAATAATGGCTTTAAACTTTTCTTTCTTTCTTTATTTTTTGTGGCACTGTGGATGGAACCCAGGCTGTTGCACATGTCAGGTAAACAGTAGTGCTGATGGATACCTCGGGCCCCCATGAATGTATTTTGGGAATGCAGTATATTTTCACATATGCTGAGTATGGCAGATTTTCAAATTGGTAGGGATTATAAGGTGAAAGGAGAATTTTTTGGAAAAGTCTGCTGCATGATTCTTATGCAACCCCACTAGAAAGGGAAGCCTCTCGCCTCTCTTTTCTTCTTACTTCCTTCACCTCAATATCCCTCTATCATCTTCTCATCCTGATAGTCATTAATCATCTACTTTCTAGGAGGAAGTAGGACTGAGATTACTAGCTACTCACACTTTAATTGTTTGGTAACTTTTTCCTTGTTCTGCTTCCCTTCTTTGCAAAACTAAAAGTAACCTCTGTTTAGGAAAGCATTTTAGCAACCATTGTCAGATGTATGAGGTCATGGAAAGTCAATCATTTTCTTTTTCTCTGAGCATCGTTTGGTTTATGCTTTTGCAGTTTTCCAACCTATATGTGTACCCTGCTTTTTTTTTTTTGTAGTTTATAGTAGTATGCTGTGCAGATAAAAATGCTAGTGTATAATTTTGTCATCAGGTTTTAGTTATATTTTTTTCCCTATCTGTTCTTGTGAGTTTTAAAAAGGTTTTGGAGCTGAGTGTGATGGTGCACGCCTGTAATCCCAACAGTTTGGGAGGCTGAGGTGGGAGGATCATGAGTTCAAAGCCACCCTCAGCAACTTAGGGAGGCCTTAAGCAACTCAGTGAGACCCTGTCTCTAAAATAAAATATAAAAAAAGGGATGTAGCTGTGTGGTTGAGCACCCTGGGCTCAATCCCTGGTACCAAACAAACAAACAAAAAGTTTTTGGAGAGATCAGTTATGAATTGGCATAGAAGTTCTTTGTTATTCTCTGTTTTCTTTGAAAAAACTCACTAGTATGCCAAATGAAAAGTAATATTTTTGCTAGAGCTTTCTATTACCTTGGAACACATGAAATTGTGAGTGTTATGGGTAGAGTATGGTCACATAGTATCATTATTATGTAATTCATTCTGATGTTAACCTATTAGTTCTTGTTTGATTTTAAATTGTATACTTAAAGACCAAATTGGGAAAATCCTATTACTTTGAAAGTACTTTTTAGGCACTCAGTAAGAGATGACTGAATTAATTGCTAATACTTATATGGCATACAGTCTTCTTTTTGTAGGACACTGATTTTAATATGTTCTAATCCGAGGTATGGGGAAAGGGAAGCCTATTTTTTTTCCTTGTTTGAATTAGCATATTGAGAAAGGAACATAGCAAAGAATGGAAGAAGAATCATAAACTAGCCATCTATTATTTTTTTTTCTTTTTTAAATCAGTAGGTTTTAACACATTTATGTGATTTTTTTTTAAGGAAGCTTAAAATAAGTGTTGTTAGTGATTCGTTATGTTTATTTTTAATTTTTTAAAATTTAGGTCTCTGTTGATCTTGGATGACATTTGGGATTCTTGGGTTTTAAAAGCTTTTGACAATCAGTGTCAGATTCTTCTTACAACCAGAGACAAGAGTGTTACAGATTCAGTAATGGGTAAGGATTATTAACTTACTTTTAAATACCTTTATTAATAAAGGTACTAAATTAAAGGTATTCATTATTTAATTCAATTACACTGAAATATATGGAATACCAAATTACTTACTATGTCTTGCAATTTTGTTGCAGGTCCTAAATATGTAGTCCCTGTGGAGAGTGGCCTCGGTAAAGAAAAAGGACTTGAAATTTTATCCCTTTTTGTTAATATGAAAAAAGCAGATTTGCCAGAACAAGCTCATAGTATTATAAAAGAATGCAAAGGTATGGTTACTTATTTGGTGTATGAGGGTGATTACAGGGGTAATGATCCTCCTTTTGTAAATTAAGCTAATGAATGTGACAATTTAGCACATGAATATCCTTAAACTTTTCTAGAATATTTAGTATTTTAAGTCCTTCTCTGGTACATTAAATGGATACACGATATGGTACTCCTTTAGTCATGAAAATAATATTTAACACTTATCCACAATATCTTATGGAGACTGCAATAGTGAGAAAAATGAAATGAAGACATGACATTTACTGTCAAAGAGTGAGAAATATAGTGAAAGTCAAATTTAAGAATTTCTTTGCATGGGATTTTATAAAAATAAGTATTCAAATTTGATAAGTAAAAGCTGATATTGTCTTCTTAATTTGTACTTTCTTTTAATGAGTTTAAACTTTTTGCTTGTTCCGATTCAGTTTTTCTTCCTGTACTCTGATAAGAAAGATCACTTCTGACAACAGATGTATAGAGATTTTTCTCCATACACCAAGCAAGCAATCAAGTCTTCAGTATTCACCAACTAGCTAGCCTCTAATTTAATTTAATCATGACACTGTCTCCCTGGAGACAGACTACCTCCTCTTTAGATGGCAGTTATAAGCTCCAAGATGTTTAACCTGTGTTTCTGACTCAGCCGCTATAAATCAAGGTTCTTGTCACCCCTCCTCAATCTCAGTTAATTTGCTTGATCAGTTAACAGAACTCAAGAAAACATATTTATTGGTTTGTTACAAAGGATACAAAGAGATCCACTGGGCAAGTTTTGAGGAAGGGGTACAGAGCTTCCATGCCGTCTCTAGTTCTGCTGCCCTTAGGAACCTCCATGTGTTCAGCTACCTGGTATTTGTCCAAACTAGGTCATTTTGTATTTTTAATGGAAACTTTATTGCATAGGAAGGATTGAAGAATGGACAGCTGTGTAGAAAGGTGACTGGACAAAAAGAGTATGATCTAATGCTAATAAACTGAGAGGGGAAACCCAGCAAGGCCTGTTGATGCAGATTCTTCTTGTTTTCTCTGTGAAGCATTCCTGCCTTCTAGTATAGGGCAGAACCCCTTCTGAAATGGGGGTCTTATGATCTATAATATCTATATTTCTTTACAGCCAGCTCTAAGAAAGAAAGGTAGAGATAGAGTTTCTAAGACCCACCTCAGGAAAGAGAAATTCTAGTTTCTGTGGCCTGTCTTTGGGAGAAAGTTAAGGAGCCAGGGACATTGGATAAAAACCAAAATATGTACATTATGATATCATACTTGTTTATTGGATATTTGCATTTTAAGAAATTATCCATGTCTCACTTTTCTTTTGTGATATATATTAACATTTATTTTAAAATTCCCTATTGAAGCTATTAGCGCTTCATCATGTTTTTGCAAAGTTTCCCTCCAGTTTTTTATGTGCCTTTTAATTTTATTGTACTGTCTTTTCACATATAGAACTGAAAATTTTTTATAGTCAAATCAAAATCAAGATTATAGCCGGGTGCAGTGGCACACACTTATGATCCTAGCAGCTTAGGAGGCTGAGACAGGAGGATTGAGAGTTCAAAGACAGCCTCAGCAAGAGTGAGGTGCTAAGCAACTCAGTGAGACTCTGTCTCTAAATGAAATACAAATTAGAGCAGGGGATGTGGCTCAGTGGTTGAGTGTCCCTGAGTTCAATTCCTTGAACTCAAGATTATAATGGTTAACATAGTTTTTGCATTCTTTTTGTGGTTGTAGGTGGACAGAATGCCTTTATTTTATTTGTTTATGTGGTGCTAAGGATTGAACCCATTGCCTCACACATGCAAACACTACACCACTTAGCTACAGCCCTAGTCCTGGTTAACATAGTTTTGAAACTTGTCCTTTTTATACATCTTGAACATTTTCCCATGGTATTAAGTAGCTTTTGAAAAAATTTACCAGTGGCACAATATTGTGATATACCTTTATTTATTCAACTATTTCTCTATTATTGAACATTTTTTACATTTTTAAAGATTTGTCACTATTATAAATTATGATGTGATGAGTATCCTTCGGTGATATCTTCTTTATTTCTGATGATTTTCTTAAAACAAATACCTAGAAGTAAAAGAGGAGTTAGATATATCTTTAAGACTTGGATAACATGCAGCAGGAATTGTTTCTTAAGACTAAGTTGTTCCTTAACTTAGTGGTGATTTTTAAAATAAGATGGTATTATTACAATTATGTTTTTTAGGTTCTCCTCTTGTGGTATCTTTAATTGGTGCACTTTTACGTGATTTTCCCAACCGGTGGGAATACTACCTCAGGCAACTACAGAACAAGCAGTTTAAGAGAATAAGGAAATCTTCATCTTATGATTATGAGGCTCTGGATGAAGCCATGTCTATAAGTGTTGAAATGCTCAGAGAAGACATTAAAGATTATTACACAGATCTTTCTATCCTTCAGAAGGATGTTAAGGTGCCTACAAAGGTAATACATAGACCAGCAATTCTCAGCATTGGATATTTATGATACAGTTCCAAGGACATTTGCAGGACATGTTGCAGAGGATAACGGAAGGATATGATTTACAGGACCAAGGTAGTGGGTGGGGGGGAACACAAGTCTTCTACTCTTAGTCTCCATTAAGGACTCTCTGTTGAGTGCATACCAGTCTGGTGAAGCTGGGGAAGCATCCAACATCTTTTTCTCTTTTCTATGTGGAGAATAGTTGGGCTTTTTATGAAATGGAGACATTCTTTTCTAGGGATATGAGATAACAGTTTTTTTTTTTGGTGTGTTAACACTTTTTCTTTTTTTCCCCAACACTATTTGTTTGTTTGTTTGTTTGTTTGTTTGTTTATTTATTTATTTATTTATTTATATGTGGTGCTAAGGATCGAACCCAGGGCCTCACACGTGCTAGGCAAGCACTCTACCGCTGAGACCCAGCCCCAGCACCTGTTAACACTTTTCTAAAGTCCTATTTGATGTACTTCTACGGCACATTAAATACTTAAAATAATTCACAGGTATTATGTATTCTCTGGGACATGGAAACTGAAGAAGTTGAAGACATATTGCAGGAGTTTGTTAATAAGTCTCTCCTATTCTGTGATCGGAATGGAAAGTCGTTTCGTTATTATTTACATGATCTTCAAATAGATTTTCTTACAGAGAAGAATCGCAGCCAACTTCAGGTACTTGTATCTCTGTAAATTTTCAATTTTAAATATTTTTAATTTGAAATAATTTTAGACTTACAGAAAATTACAGAATAGTACTGAGAATTTCTATGTATTAAATCTTTCACCTATCTTCTCCTAATGTCAACATCTTATATAACCTTAACACTTTTTGTTGGGTACTGGAGATTGAACCTGTTGTGAAGGGCGAAAGGTGCGACTTATGCAGTCCAGGGGGAGAAATAAAGAATGTCTACATGCTTCTACCCTTTCCAATGTTTTATTCATTCAAATCACTTAATATAATTTCACTCTATAGGTTCTGAATCAAGGAAATGACAATCCTTAATGGTAGTCACTGCGATAGACATACATCAATTCATAACAAACAATTCTAGATTAATTCTAAGCACTGCAAACACACTTAATTATGACAGGCTCATGACAGACATTCCCTCTACATGCTAAATTCAAGTGTCAGATCAAAAGTCTCAAGCTTTAAGCTTTAAGTCCAGCAGATACACACTCACTCAGACACTGGTGATCAGATTAGGAACCAAGGCAGGCTTCTCCTGGGGTGAAGCTGATGGCCAGTTGAGGAGGGGGTCATAGGGAGAAGTTGTGGTTCTGACCAGGGTTAAGATGTGGCTATAGAGTTTGAGAGCCATGACAAAAACGCAGAGGATCAGGTCAACAAGGAAATGTCTAGGTCCTCATTAGGCTGTCAGCCTGAGGGCATCATTGTCTGCTGGTTGAATGTCTGTTCATTTGCTCTATTATTTATACCAAATTTTGGGGTTTTGGACCCCCCTTTAATCCTTATCAGTTGCCAGCCGTCTCTCAGTAACATCATTTAACCTGTGGTTAAAACACTGGTCTGGTTGTCTCCACCCTGATCTTTTTGCCTTTCTCTCTTATCTGGCACCTTCTTCCAGTCTTCAGAGTTTATCAGGGTGGGGAGAAGTGACTTGTTAGTGCCTGAGGGCCATACTGGAGGGTAAGAAGGTTGGTAGAATGAATCAGACATCATTACCCTATGTACATACAACTGGTGGGATTCTACAGCATGTATAACCAGAAGAATGAGAAATTATACTCCATTATGCCCCCTGAAATTACATTCTTAATATTAAGTGTTAGAAGCTGGAGTTACTATTGCTTCTGTCCTCTGAAATGTGTACTTTTGTTTCAGGATCTACATAAGAAGATGATCACTCAGTTTCAGAGGTATCACCAGCTGTATACTCTTTCCCCAGATCAGGAGGACTGCATGTATTGGTACAACTTTCTGGCTTATCACATGGCTAGTGCCAATATGCACAAAGTAAGATGACATATTTGAAAATTCTTTTATCTTAATTTCCTTTCACTGTATGTGCTTCAAGTATTTTTTCTTCGTTTCTTTGTTTCTTTTTTTAAAATTTTTTTTAGTTGCAAATGGACACTATTTTTTATTTTATTTATTTATTTTATGTGGTGCTGCAGATCGAACCCAGTGCCCCACTCATGCGAGGCAGGCAAGCAATCACTGAGCCACAACCCCAGCCCCTGGTTTATTTATTTCTTAAAATATTGCTTTTTTTTTTTTTTTTCTTTTTGGTGTATGTGGAACTGAAGATGGCCTCACACCTACTAGCCAAGTTCTTTGCCACTGAACTACATGCCCAGATTGAGATTGGAATTTTTATGTAGTTAAATGTACCACTCTTTCTTTTTTGTATTTTGCTTCAGTGTCATGTTTATAAATGTGTTTTGTCCTATGATTAGACATTTGTTAGTAAAAATAAGATCATAGCTTATGTAATTTTTTTTTTTTTTTTACTGTTTTTACCTGAACTGAAGTTATCTTACTTAGTAACTATAGTAAATGAACTACTTAAAAATTGATTTTCTTCTTCCTGGTAGTTTTCCTTATGTGGACAGTAAGTATTTATTTTTAAGCTATAAGAAGCAATGGAGGCTGGATGTGACAGTGCACACCTGTAATCCCAGTTACTCAGGAGATTGAAGCAGGAGGATTGCAAGTTCAAGGCTAGTCTGAGCAATTTAGGGAGAATCTGTCTGAAAATAAAAATGAAAGGGCTGGGGATGTAGTTGAGTGCTCCTGGGTTTAATCCCTAGTACCCAAAACAAGCAAACAAATACCCCCCAAAACTTTTGAAATATATCAGTGTGGCAGGAATTTTTTTTTCTTATTAACCTTTTTTCTGCTCTTAAAGGTAATAATTTGTTTTCACTGGGAAATTTTAGGAAAACATCTATAGCAAAGAAAGTTGAAGATTACTGTTAGACCAGGACGCAAGAAAAGACCACTGACTCCAATTAAAATCAAATTAAAGCAAGCTTATTATTTTGAACGGCCGGGCTGCCTCTCCCACTCAAAACCTCGGGAACAAGACAGCAGCCCCCGCTTTCCTGCAGCCCAACTTTATAGCCCAGAAAGTTACACAAAGGGGGGTTACAGATAACAAAACTCTGACAAGCATAACACTAATGGTAGTTTACATTTTTGCTGGCCCCGACATCAGAATTTATGAAGGTCATTAGAGCCTCACGGAGGGTCATTTTCTGGTCAGGGAAGGCCAAGATTTGTGAGGCGTCACAAAACTTTTAGAGAGGGCTGCTGTCTGGTCAGAGAGCCAGGCATGGGTGAGTTCAAGGAACGGGCGGCATTCCAAGCAGGTTCAAAATTTTCAGTAATTTATAGTAAAGCCAAAATTAGCTTTTCATGACTTTGTGGTGAGATGGCTCCCAATTTTAAGAGAAAATTAGGTTGGGTCTATCAATTACACCATTGCTAATAATTCTGTGTATAGTTCATTTTGCTACTTAGATAAACACACTTGTTCTTTAAAACCAAAATCGGAATTATAATAGAAATAGCATTGTATATATTGAATTTTACTTCTTTTTTTAAATATATATATATATATTTTTTTTTGGTGTAGATGGACACAACACAATGCATTTATTTTTATGTGGTGCTGAAGATTGAATCTGGGTCCTGCCCATGCTAGGGGACCGCTCTACCGCTGAGCCACAATCCCAGCTTCAGAAGTTTACTTCTTAATTGTAACCTTGGGGTTACAATTAAGAAGTAAACTTTTCAATCTTATTTAAATAGAATGACATGATTTTTTTAATATTTATTTTTTAAATATTAATGGACACCATATCTACAATATCTTTTTATTTTTTTATATGGTGCTGAGGATCGAACCCAGGGCCTGGCAAGTGCTAGGCAAGCGTTCTACCACTGAGCCACAACCCCAACCCCTAGAACGACATGATTTTTAAAGCTGTATTCTATTTCATTATAGGTACACTATGATTAATCAGGTGGTTGATAGATGGAGTGTTAATTATACTCATGTGGTTGTTGTTTTAGGATACATTTCTGGGTTAAATGTTGTCTCAGGATACAATTTCTGGTTTAAATAGTGCATAGAGTTTAAATTTGAATCTAGATTGCCAAACTGCTGTTAAGAAGGGTGCTTTTATATCTTGAACAATAGATAAACATGTCTATTTCCTTTGATTTTTAGCTAATATTATTCCTTTAGTCTTTTAAAACCTGTTTAAAATGGTAATTTCTGTGTTTCACTTTGATCACTGGTGAAATTTTGGCTACTGATATATTTTATTTTGTGAATTTACTTGTTTTTTTCCTTTACTGATTTTTTTCTTTTGGGATATTTTTAAATTGTTTTATTATAATTTTCTATAAAGGAAAATTTATTAAGCCCTCTTCTGTTGTGTGTGTTGCAAATAAATATTTTTCCTGATTTTTTTCCCTAAATTTTGCTTGTATTGCTTTCTGTGTATTGAGGATTTGAATTTTTTTTTTTTGTATTTTGCTTTGTTGCATTCATTATAAAGGTTTCTTTCACCCCAAGGTTACAAAATTATTTACCCATATTTTAGCATGGGTTTTCTATTTTCTCTTTTAATCTTTAGTCCAACTGAAATTTATTTTGATTTTAAGATGGGAGGCTCATTTTATGTTTTTTTTTTTTTTTAAGAGAGAGGGGGGGGGGAGAGAGAGAGAGAGAGACAGAGAGAGAGAGAGAGAGAGAGAGAGAGAGAGAGAGAGAGAGAGAGAGAGAGAGAGAGTTTTTATTTATTTATTTTAGTTTTTTTTGGCGGACACAACATCTCTTGTTTGTACGTGGTGCTGAGGATCGAACCCGGGCCGCACGCATGCCAGGCGAGCGCGCTACCGCTTGAGCCACATCCCCAGCCCCTCATTTTATGTTTCTTTGAAACTATTGATGTGTTCCTTTTTGCTAGCTTCCTTTTTGTCTTAAATTCTAGATATCAGCTAAGTTTCTCTGAGTGGTGTTAGGATAGTGATGTTAAAATTCTTTGACCTTTTTTTTTTCCCCTTTAAATGCTTTATTCACTCAAATTACTCAATACAATTTCACTCTATAGGTTCTAAATCAAGAAAACCATAATCCTTAATGGTGGCATTGCAATAGACATAATCAGTTCACAGCAAACAATTCTAGATTAATTCTAAGCGCTGCAAACACACTTAATCATGACGGGTTAATGACAGACATTCATTCAAGTTCAAGAGTGTTAAGTCTTAGGCTTTATGCTCAGCAAATGCACACTCACCCAGGCCACAGTGATCAGGTCTGGAACCAAGGCAGGCTTTTCCTGGCGTGGATGGATGATTGGTTGAGGAGAAAGTCGTGGGGAGAAGTTGCGGTACTCACTAGGGTCCAGACGAGGCGGTAGAGTTTGAGAGTGGTGAGGATCACGCAGAGGATCAGGAAAGGGTGACTAGTGATGGGATGTCAGTCCAGGTCCTCATTAGGCTCTCTAGCTCGAGTGCATCCTTGTTTCGGCTGGCTTTCTTTAATCTTTTTTTTTTTTTTAACTGAGATTTTTTTTTTTTTAAGAGAGAGTGAGAGAGGGAGAGGGAGAGAGAGAGAGAATTTTAATGTTTATTTTTTAGTTATCAGCAGACACAACAACTTTGTTTTGTATGTGGTGCTGAGGATCGAACCCGGGCCGCACGCATACCAGGTAAGTGCGCTACCGCTTGAGCCACATCCCCACTAACCAACTTCACTTTTTTCCTTTTCTTTTTCTTAAGGAACTTTGTGCTTTAATGTTTTCCCTGGACTGGATTAAAGCCAAAACAGAACTTGTAGGCCCTGCTCATCTGATTCATGAATTTGTGGAATATAGGCATATATTGGATGAAAAGGTATGTATTAGTAAAAGAAAAGTTTGTGTTTAAAGTACATCTCATTTTTACATTTAATTCTAGGTTTAATGGTGGGGACGAGCAGAATAGAATAGTTGAAAATAGCTATTTTCCTTGCTTTGACCTTTTATCACTCTAAGTAATTTGCTTCTTTGCCTACTGGGAATGTAGGTAGGATTAAAGTTTGAAAGTTGGGAAAGTAAGGTTTTCAGTATTTAAAAAAAAATGTTAAGAAATGTGTCTGATAATGAGATTTTTTACTCTGTATTTAAAGGCAGAAGAGAATCACTATGTATTTGTTACCTAATGGTTGGCTATTAAATTTTAGTTCATATAGAGAATATTTCATTTAAGTCTTTAAAATGACAAGATCAGAGAAGCAGAAAGATGTCAGATCTTGACTCTGGTTATGTTTCTAAGAGATTTCAGTTTATTCATAGGATTGTGCAGTCTGTGAGAATTTTCAAGAGTTTTTATCTTTAAATGGACACCTTCTTGGACGACAGCCATTTCCTAATATTGTACAACTGGGTCTCTGTGAACCAGAAACTTCAGAAGTTTATCAGCAAGCAAAGCTGCAGGCCAAGCAGGAGGTTGATAATGGGATGCTTTACCTGGAGTGGATGTAAGTAGGTTAGGGGAGAAACCCCAAAGGGTGTGGAGTGTTAACTATATCATTATTTTTCTGGAAGTGAATAAGATCACTCCAGGAAGACATAACTACTTTGGAAAGAACTGGAACTTTTAATAAGTATTCTTACTTAGTGAAAAGTTCCAGAGACGTAAGCAAGGAGAAAATGATTATGAAGTCCATAGAAATAGCTGCCCATAAGGCATTTTGACAGGCCATCCTAACTATTAATACCTGATGCTTGACTTACAATAATCTAGTATAGTGATGAAGAGTATGGGCTCTGGAGCCACAGACTTGGGTTTGAGTCTTGGTGCTGAAATCTAGTAGTTTGTGATTTCAAACAAGTTACAGGTTATTTTCTCATATGCAAAATGGAGAGAACAATTCTTTGAGGTAAATGTTGTTTCTTGTGAAAATTTAAATGAGATAATGGCTGTAAAGAAATTTGCACTTTGCCTCTAACACATAGCTCTTATTAAATGTCTATTGGATCCTGACTCTTCTGCCTCTTAATCCATTGTGTCTCATTGTCATATTAATAGGACATTGGTAAAAACTTAAATTGAGCAATTTTATAGATGTATTACAGAACTCTATAGGCTTTTATAGGTGTCTAATATATATGATGATGGGACATGATGGTTTAAAGAAGTCAATAACTTTTCATTTTATTTATTTAAACTTCCATCTATTTAATGTCTGTTATATTGTCTTCAGAATAACCTTGTAAGGTAAATATTCATTGTCCTGTTTGACAGATGAAAAAATTGAGGTACAGAGAGGTGAGACTTGATTAAGCTTTGTGGCATGCTGTGTGGGACGTAAGTCCTAGTCTGTCTAGCTTTATTTTTCATTCTCTTTCCATGTGCCATGCTTCTCTTACAGCGGGATATAATAAACATGAGTGGTTTTCTCTTCACATGTATAATTTATGTCTAAATTGAACTCCAGGTTGGTATCTGTGATTTTTATGGCCCTTACCTTCTTCAAATAAATTATAGATGATTCCCTTGATTCAGGGTAATTTAGCAAACATATGACTTTCTCTGCTGTGCTAAGTACTCTTACTAGGGGTCCAGGCTTTCTCTAGTGAGTTCATAATCTAATAGTGAAGAAAGAAGCTTATTACAATAAAATGTGATAAATGCAGCAACAGAAGTATGTATTAAAATTGGGATAGAATTGATGAGTAATTAACTTGGATGAGAGAGTAATTTTTTTTTAGTTAAATTTAATTTTAAATTTAAATTTTGGTTGGTTTTTCAACTTGTATGTCTCCTGGTTAAAGTAAAAAATTATAAATATGTAAAACGAGAAGTCAAAGACTTCTTTTCCTCTCCTACCTTCCCACTTCCTAGAATTAATCATTCTTTAACATTTCTTCACATGAGGAGGTTTCACTTCCATCAGGAAGAAGTGAAAGAAGGGAAGCAGCCCTCCTAACTTACTGAAGCTACATCAGATCTGTTAGTATTCTAAAATACTCCCTTGTCACCCTTTATTGCGATGATATGCTTACTTGTTTTTCTCCCACACTAGTCCGTATATTCTATATTGTAGAATAGTTAGGAGGTTAAAATCCAAACTTTGAATAGAAGGAAGATCAATAGAGTAGTGCTGGGTTTCTGTTCTCTCGACTAAAAGGCTCAGGGGTCACTCTAGTTAAACTGGGCTAACTGGGCCGCACGAAATAACCACACAAGAGACACAAATACCTTTTTCTTTGGGTTTGCTGTGATGGCTTCTCTGACCTTAAGGGTCCGCAGAGAGAGAGAGAGCACGCGCTAACCCCTTTTATTGAGGAGAAGCTATTCAAATGAGGCAAGGGGTCAGGTTTCAAGGGGCTGAGTCCATCTTCATGATGTCCACTGTCAGCAGGTTGACTGACACCTGGGTAGGACACACCCAAGGGCACAGTAAGAGGAGGGGACACACACAAGGTACTTCCATGGAAGATTCTATCCTAAACAGGGCAAGGGGTTATATTACAAAGGAACAGGTGAGCATAGCTTCACCCATGGGGCTGTAGCAAGACACACCCATTTCTGTGACTGAGTGCTTCAGCACCCAGCTGGGGAGTGTAACTCAGTAAGGTTGCCTCCCACAGAGTAGAGGGAGGGAAGAGAACAGGGAGAAGGAAGCACTGGAAACTAAAATGGAGCACACCGTTATATGCATTTATGAATATGCCAGAATGAACCCTACTGTTATGCATTACTATAATGCACTAATAAAATCTTTAAAAAAAACTGGTTCTAAACTGCCTGGGCTTGAATTGCAGCTCTGGTAGTTATTAGTTGTGTGTAATTAGGGGAAAGTTATTCAATTTCTCTTGCCGAAGAGTGCCATTTCATAGCATTTTGTGATAGAGGTTGTCATTAAGAATAGCAGTTAGCATTTTGCTTGGTCCACATAGTTGATGTTCAGTAGAGATTTGTAGAAGATTGAATAAATTCAATTGAATAAATAGCTAAAAAGGAATCTTAATACTTTGTCTTATCAAACTGGCAGAGGTTTAGTTCTTGATCCTGTGGGAATTGTTGAATTTTTTTTTTTTTTTTGCTATTTCCTGCTATTTGTTTTTCCCATTGCACCAACTGCATTTCAACTTGTGACATTCTATCATATTCATTCATAGATTTATTTTATACCTGGGTTTAAACAGGCCATCATCAAAGAATGCTTAATTTCAGTACTAGAAACCTGTTTGTTTATTGTAGAAGGTGTGGATTATTCTGAACTTTAATTGAGTTTTAATTTTCAAAGCAATCATTTGTTATTTATCTAATATTTTTGGTCCTTTACTATATGCCTGTCATTGTAAAGGTCACACTCTAAGCTTTGGGGAATTGAGTAGACAGATCAAAGGGAAATACTATATTCTTAATCTAATTCTCTTAACTTTTCAAATAACTTATCTTTTCCAGGTTCTCATCACTCTAGTTCTTATACTTGTTTTATCACTTCTAGTAAAATATAATACATAGTTTCTATGCAGGGTCATAGATTGATTTACTTCTGTGTTCTTTTATCATTTGTTCTGTATTGTACATGGTTCAATTTTTTGAAGAATGATAACAGTAGTATTTTGTGTCAGTTGTAGTTTATAGTGAATATTATTATTTCCTTTACATACAAGGAAATGGATCTTACGTTGAGTTATTTGTCTAATTTCACATCCTATAAAGTGAGGTTGCCCTATGGGTTTAACTCCTAATCTTTGACTCCAAATAAGCACAGTGCTTTTTAACATATTTACCTATATCCAAAGTGACTGGTGTGTATATAGACGAAATTCGGACACTACTCTAGTGCTTTCTGCTGCTTTAAGTACATATTCCATTCCATTATCCTTTACCTTGTGAGCAACAATATAATATCTATACTAATGGAATAGTTGGTATTCCTTAGAATAAGATACAAAGAAAATGACATTGCTGTGTCTTTTTTCCTCTGTGTCTAAGTAATTGTAGTTAGAAAAAATCATCACCATAATGGTGGGTGTAGTGTCATGCTTTAGTTAGGAAATGAACTTCATGTTGTAATCCTTTCTTGAATTTTAAGAGATGGAGGTTTTTCAAAAGTGTGCTTACATAATGTTTTAGCTGTGTGTTATAATTAATAGTATATCAAAAGAAAATAGAAAAAGACATTTGATAAACTAGATTTCCTTCAACTCAGTGATATTTGTGACACATGGCACTTTGCTTGATAGAGAGTAACATTTCTCTTAAAATGTTACTTTTCTTGAATTATGTCTTTTCTTTAGGTGAACTGTGTTTTTATTTGCAGTTAATAATTTAATAATTTTATGTTTTATGAAATGTAACCATGTTACGAGATAGTTTCTATTATAAAAGAAATAGGCCTTTTACTCTCGCTTACTAGATTTCTGTTCATTTTCCTTGTATTTAGAAACAAAAAAACCATCAAGAATCTCTCCCGCTTAGTTGTCCGCCCCCATACAGATGCTGTTTACCATGCATGCTTTTCTGAGGATGGTCAGAGAATAGCTTCTTGTGGAGCTGATAAAACCTTACAGGTAAAACAATCTCTTTGAGACAAGTTGAAAAAGGCATATACCCAATCCTATGCAGAGTATAATATGTTAAACTGCCAAAATTAAAGAAAATTAAAACTTAGAAGTAGTGGAGAATCCCAATCTCTTGATTGGGATTTGCAAAGGCTAGGCATGTGCTCTACCACAGAGCTTCATTCTCAGCCCTCTTTATTTTGAGACAAGGTCTCAGTTGCCCAGGCTGGCCAGAACTTGTGATCTTCCTGCCTTAGCCTTCTGAGTAGCAGGATCATGGGCTCATGCCGTCACCATGCCTAGCTCTCTTGAATATTTTATGAAAGTTTTCTCTAGAGATTTTAAAGATATAGTTATGTGTTTTCATAATTCTAAATTTGCCACATGACAAAGAAGAACCTTCTTCCCTGTTAATTATCTGCCACCCATTTGCTGCCTATGGGTAATGATGAAATAACTGTTAAAAGACATAAGGACTTAATAGTGTAGTGGATAGGACTCTGATGAAAAAGTAGTGATTCAATAATTATTTTATCAAAGGCTTAGAAATAGGTTTCTGGATGTAAATAATAATTGAACTAAATTATTTCTGTTAGCATTTGTGCTCTACCTGTTAATTTTGAAGGAAATAGGGTCAAATTAATTAAACTTTTTATAATAATTTTGGTCTTTCCGAAGTAAGGACTGCATGCCTTCTTTCTATAGTACCTGATTACTAATTTTGGTTTCTGAGCTCCAGAAAGAAAACATATTGCATTAAATATTTTGTATTTGATTGTTAGGAATTTGCCAAAATGGTCACAAGAATTGAAGCTATATCGAGCCATTTCTTTTTATTGGTATTAATCAACATGTAACAATGAATAGTTCTCTGTTTATGTGAAGGCTTAAAATTCTGACAGAAATTCTGATTTTTTGAATGATTTTGCTAAGGTTCATTTCTGTTTTATAAATAACAGTGATTAAGATCTTTTAAAGAAAGATTTTTATTACGTGGTGAGTTCAGTGATTTATAGTAAAGATTTTATTGTTGCTTGTATAGGTGTTCAAAGCTGAAACAGGAGAGAAACTTCTAGAAATCAAAGCTCATGAGGATGAAGTGCTTTGTTGTGCATTCTCTACAGATGACAGATTTATAGCAACCTGCTCAGTGGATAAAAAAGTGAAGGTAGGAAACTATTTTCCTCTTGAATTATAATCATTACAGAATTAATTTTTTCTGTAAAAGACTAACTAAAGGACTCATGCCTGTTGATCACTAACTTGAATCCTTATAAATTAACATTGTAGAAAATTCTTTATTTTTAAGCATGAGCAAAAATGCTTATGTTGATCAGCCTGAGGTATTTACCAGGCAGTGGGGAAAAGTAATTACAGATTAATGAATTTGCCTGCCATTAATAGACAGGTCTGTGGGTTAAATGTAGGTTGAAATCTTAGAGTACATTGTGATTTAGAGTGTTATTGCACAAAATGATTGTCTGAGATCAGATTCCTGTCATAAAATACATAATTTTTAAAATGTAACCCATTTTTTTTTAAACATGTATGAACTTAGGTATTCAGTGCAAAACCAGGTAGGTAGACAAACTAACAGGTTGCTGGTCTAAAAACAAGAAGAAAAAGAGGATGATTTTTATCTTGTTAATTATTCTTTTTTGTTTCTTGTCCCTAACTTTGGCTTTTAGCTAGAGTATTTATTTAATGTAGAATTTAAGAGAAACTGAAGACTTAGGGGATGTTTTATCACTAGAATTTGGAAGAGAGACCTCACTTCAGACTTTTTTCAAAAGCGTTTTGGAATACGAATCTGGCTAGGTTGGAAGGACAAGAGAGTTGGCTTGGGAGTTTTCCTGGAGTTTTCACTGACATGAAGAGGTTGTCGAATGTCCAGATTAAAACTGAGACCTTGGAAAAACCTGCTTTTTTTTTTTTTTTCTTTTGACTGGGAATTGAACTCAGGGGTGCTTAACCACTGAGCCACATTCCC